CGGAGCTGGCTGCTCGGTGCAGGCTGCGGGCTGGAAGCTTTCTGCTCCGACGGCGGAGTTCCTAGCATGGAGAACTGCGCGCTGTCCTGAGAATTCCCCTCCCTGAGCCTTGAAAAACTTGGGACCACTGAGGAAGGAGCAGGGAAGCACCTGCCTTGCGGAAGCAGCCGTATCCCATCCGTATGAGGGACGAGAACGCGAGAAAAGGAGTTCTCAATGCAGGACGGTTCCAACTGACACGGTTCCAGCGTGTCAGTTGGCCAGAGCCGCCCGGGCAGTGGCAGCCCTGAAGGTATTTGCTCACCGTCGTCCCAGGAAGAGCCACGTCACCAGAGCGAGATCTCGCCCCTCCGCGCCCACCGAGGCGGAGCCCAGACCAGGCCCACGGTTCGCAGCTCCGGCGCTGGAGGTGGTGATGCTGCAAGATGCTGGAAGAAGAGGGGGAGGCAGCCCGGTGAAGTCCTCGATAGTGATTTTTATTAAATTAGTTGCTTTATAAACCACCGCCAACGTCGGGGTTGTCACCGTAATGATCTGCCCGATGCAGGAACTGGTGCGGTTTGCTAAGCAACTTCGGGTTTATTTCGTAAATGAAAGAAAGTGGCCGAGTCGTGAGAGATCTGCCCCAACCCGGGGAGCCCGGGGGGGTCGCTACACGTAAACCAGGCAGTCGGCTGTTAAAGGACACCCACCCCCACGGCTGCTGAGCAGGAATTCAGATGCACGGACAGTCAACTCCGCACTTGAGTGGTGTTCTCCCCAGTGAGGGATGCTCCCGCGCCCTGTTCTGACGGCGAGTGCCGGCGCCTTTCGGGAGGGAGCGGTTCCCCGTCGCTACGCACGGCAAACCCCGAGCGCCAAGGCAGGACTGAGCGCCCGCCGCGCTGCCAGCGACCCGCTGGGGAGAGCAGGTAAGGCCGCGGCCCTGAACCGTGCGGGCAGCACTTGGCCGCGGTGACCTTCACTGCCCATTCGGTGGCTGTTGCTGTAAAACCAACCAGCAGCAGCTCCCACTGTCCGAATTTGGGGATTTTGAACTGTGATTTACATGGCTTTTCCAGGTCCTCACTCTTACCCCCGAGCACACGGCGCTGGCCCGTCGGGAGTTCAGCCACCAGCACAGAGAGACTGCAATTCTGATTGTAGCATTTGGCAGAATTTAAAGGAAGAAGAGTTGTGCTACATGTTTAAGGGATTATGGGCAACAGAAAGACAACAGAAAGGGAGAGAAATGTCACATGAAGTCTTCAAAGTCTTGTACGTATTCTCCGTCGTATCCTCCATAATCAGCCAGGTCATCTTTCATAGTAGCCTTTAAACCGCCTCCAGGCACAACTCCTTTTTTCTTCTTTTTGGCTTTATTCTGCTTAAATAGGAAGAGGATGGTTACTTTAAAATCCGTAGCAATTCCTCATTACTCGGAGCAGTGCCCCATGCGGAGGTCGAAGCAGCACGTACCCACGCAGGGAGCGCCCTGCCACCAGCACCCCTCCCCTTTGCCCCTGCGTCCCGTCGTGGGGTGCCCCACGGCTCCCTGGGCTGCGCACCCGCCCATCGTCTGGGCCTGCGGGCTCTGTACGGGGAACGCAGGCTCTAGCAGTCGGGTTTGTGACGCCACCAGTGTCACCAAAGAACGTAACGCGCCTTGAGGGGCCAAGTGTTCTCCTTGAGAACACCCAAGGACGTCCTAAACAAAGGGGTGCAGAGCACCTCAAAGCCAAGGTCTTCCTTGGGATGGTCAGCTGGGGTTTCTCAGGGTGTCGCGGAAGCATCAGCTGAGCTACTTCATCACCTTCTAAGCCTTGTCCCTCCCATGCCCACGCAGCCGTGCCCCTCTGCTTGGCACGGCAGCGTAAAAGTCCTGGTGGGCTCCGATTCCAACCCCCACCTTTGGCAGAGGTGTGGGTCGCTGCCCCGCAGCGGCACTGCACTGACAGTTAACCCCAGAGCAGGCCGCCCCCTCTCCTCGGCTGTCGCCGTGAACTCCGGGCCGGGATGGAACGGAGCGAGGTCAGCATGCCGGTAACCCCCGTGTGAACGAATCGCGGTTCTGCCTCCGAGCCCTGCCCTGCCCTCGACTCCTGCCGAGCTCGCTCACGCCGCAAGGAGGGTTGAAGGCTCAGCCGGTATCCGGGGTTACCACCAAACCTGCGTCGGCTCTGTCCGCGTCCCACCTCCCGCGCGAGCCCCTGCTGAAACAGAGCGCTCTTACCTTTTCCTGTTTCTGTTTTTCACTGCATAGAACTGTCAGGGTATTCGTGATCTTTTTCAAATCATCGATTTCCACTGCAGAGGGAGAAAAACCAGAGAGATTCCTCATCAGCATCGCCGCTGGAAGGCGGCCCGAGAGGCGTCAACGGGAGCAGGCGTGAGCAGTGTGACCGGGCAGATGCTCGGCTGAAAGCAGCAGAGCAGACTGGTGGGTCTGGTCCCTGCCCCCAGTTCCCATTCCCGACAGCCCAGCGAGCAGCCGGAGCGTGGCAGAAGGCAAACCCTGCAGAGCAGGAGCCAGCGAACGCCAGAGCCTGACTGAGCGGAGGCAGGAGGAGGCACCGGGAGGTGCCGCGGGTTACCAGCATGCGATTAACGACGAGGAGCCCGGCCGCAGGGTCAGCTCCCAGCCCCAGGCGGCCGGCATCACGCAGAGCACCCCCGTACCACCTCGCCGAGGACAGTGCTTACAGGACCGCCCCAGGCTACGGCGGCCATGGAACGAGGGAGCTGAGGCAAGTTTTCTCTCTCTACGGCTCCAATCTGAATTCCAGGGCAATTTATTTGGCATCCCAGAACTCCACGAACAGATTTTGTGAGAGTTTCCTTCCGAATGAGCTACGAGTTCCCTGGCTCAGGGAACGCGCGTTCTGCTGTTACTTTGGGAATGGCGTCCCGAAACGCAGGCAAGCCTGAGGGCAGCGCTAGAGCTCCCTGTCTAACACGAGTCTGTAAGGGACGCGCAGGCAGACCTGTCGGAGCCCGCGGGAAAGGCATCGGATACCAGGCAGGGGACACAGGCCGGGCTTCCCCTGCGGGGCCGGGGTGCGCCGCGCGCCGACCTCGAGGCACCGCTTCCTGCAACGGCGTTCCCAGCTCAGCCCCGCTGCGATCCCGGCACTTACGTGAGATACACACGTCCCGGACTAGCGCTTCCAAGAAGCTGGCGTAATGTAACGATTTTTCATACTGTGTAATTTTCTCTTTTAGCAGTTTCCCAAATTCCGTGAAGTCATCTTTTGAAGAGGGATTCATGGCATCTATTCCACAAGTGCTATTTACACCTGCAGGAAAGACAGCGGTGTCAGAGGGAACAGGAGCTGCCACCCCCGAGAGGTGGCACCAGCAGGTGACCGTGCCGAGGCTTGATCCCTCGCTCCCCACCGCCTTCTGCGCCGCGGTCCGCGTGGACGGAACGGCGTTTCGCTGCCGAACGCAGGAGTTTGCACAGCTCCTCCTGTTCTCTGGAGCGACGTGCGCTGCACGGAGCCCCCTGCCCTGTACACAACACATTCCCGTCCCGAGCTCCCAAGTGCAGAACTGGGTGGTTCCTGGCAGCTGGGGGCAGCGCGCACCCCCCGGGGCACTGCTGTCAGGAGACTCGCAGACTCGTGGCCGAGGGACAAGCTGTGTAATTCACTGTGACCAAGGAAACACGCTTTGGGGAACGCTGCTGTGAAGCAGTGTCTTTCGCCAGTTCCACCACAGCACAAAGCCAGGAGGTTCTGCCTCAAGTCTACGTGGCCCAGAACGGGCTGTGACACAAGCGCCGTCCTCAGCACCCAGCTCATGGCACAGATGGCCCGAGGCACCGCATGCAGTTGTGCTGCACCACCCTCCTCCAAAGCTCATTAAATCCACGTCATAAAGCACCTCAGAACACTGAGAGACAGCACTTCTTTCTTTTCACACACTCATCTTTTCACCAGAGGCGTGTTGGGAAACCTACCCAGCCGTCGTCTGCCGAGTCCTGCCGCGGCCGTCGCGACAAAGCACCTTCGTTTCTGTGGTTCTTGGATGCGGCCTGGTGCCAGGACACGCCTCCCGCAGCCTGACCGCGACCCCCCTTTATGCTCAGGAACACAACTGCCGGCTGCTCCCAGCCCCAAACCCCGCTCCGCTCTCTGCGGCGTACCCACGCTTGTTCGGGGACGCAGCGACCGGCCGGACCGGCGCACGGCGCTTACCGAACGTTTCCTTTGCGAGCTCCAGGTCCGACTCCTCCTGCAGTTTCTTTAGCCGTAGCTTGTCTGCTAACTGTTCTTCTGGTGTAAGCTCCCTCTGCTCCTCCGGTGCCTCTAACTGCAGGGAGGAACGGCGAGAGGGAGAAGGTTGTGTTTCTGCCCCCGAGCAGGGGGAGTGCGAGAAACGGCGTCTCCTTCCAGTGCCACCCCAACACACCGATTCTGCCCCACGTACAAACGCGACACCCCCCGACACCGCCGCACGCGTCCTGCCTTTCCCAAGGAGGGGGAGCACCACCTTGGCTCTGCGTCTGCGCGCTGTCGCGCGGAAGGGAGCGGCGTTGCCTCGGGAACGGGGGGTGACAGCAGAAGTGCAGCCGACAGCCCCCCGAGCGCAAGTTCACTGGGCAGGCACCACCTCCACAGGCCTTGTCCAAACTCGGGGTGGGGTGGGGGGGTCAAACCTGCCCTCCAAACGTTACGAGACCCGGAAGAAATCAGGCATTACCCTTTTTTTAAGCTCCTCTTGCTTTTTCTTCTGTAGCTTTTCTTTTTCTTTTATTTTTTCTGCTATTTTCTTTTTTTCTGACACTTTTGGCTCTGCAAAACATTGAACGATACAACACTCAGCTGCTGAGGAGCTTTTGGCC